CTGCATTGTCCATCCGACTCCAGCTAGCATGTCATCGAGGATGTCCACTGTTGACAACAGAGCAGCTCGTTGTTGTTAGAGCTTCAAGGAGAAATCAACCTACACATACAAGTAACTCCATTTACATTACTCACATGGATCTTCAGTCTTTGGATTGTCTGATGTCAGCATTGTCACCTCACTTTTATCAGTAGCAATTTTTGTCATCAAGGGTCTCTTCCCTCTATCACTCTCACCAGCACAGCCAATTACTTCACAGGAGACGGCAAGTAACAGTCAGTCCAACTTTTCAAAATGTAAAGAGTAGTTCCAGTTTTCAGAAAATTTTATTAGGGATTCATAACAAAACTTGAAATTCAAGGAAGGTAAAAGTCAAACAATGTCAAAATTTGGTTTTTTCCAACTTTTCAAAATGTAATCACAGGGAATCAGATTGCATGCTTTGAAGCGCATAAAAATATATGAGGACAAAATGCATTTGATTGTGAAGTAAGCATGCACTAAGCATATCCAGTAAAACATGCCCGTAGAATCTACCAAAAACTCTCTGGCTAAAAGCTCTCGTACCACATTAAGCGGCATCTGTAATATCACCTTTTACCAGAGTGGGAGCAAGGAGATTATGTTTTTATTTAGAAAATGCATTAGACAAGTGACTATAAGAAGCCCTGCAAGCACAATCCTGTATTAAGAAGTTAAAGATGGAAACATAAGCACACCAGTTATAATCCTCCTCGGCCCAAGCTCTCGAACAGAATCGAGGAGTCTGGAGAGGGCATCAGGGGTGTGAGCGTAATCCACAATCACTCCGAATGCTTGTTCCTCGTCTATTAGCTCAAACCTACCAGGAACTGCGTCAACTTCCTCTATTCCTCTAACAATGTCCTCTAAGGGTGCTCCAACTGCAATCCCAACCGCCACAGCTGCAAGTATATTGTAAATATTGTGCCTTCCAAGCAACCCAGATGATATTTCTAATATCCCATTAGGAGTGTTAACCAAAACCTGAGTCTCAAACAAGGAAAGTTCAAACTTCAGTGGATGAACATCTGCATTCTTATTTTCCATTGCAAAAGTCACAACCGGCACATCTGGGTTTCCTTGTGCCATGAAGAAAGGTGCATTAGGGTCATCGATGTTAACAATCTTTCGATGCCTTTCGGGATCCACCATCCTCGAGAACAACTTGGCCTCGGCAGCCTTGTATTCCTCCTCGGTTCCATGAAAATCCAAATTGTCGCGCGTCAAGTTCGTGAAAACCGCAATGTCAAAATCAACCTCGTTATACCTCCCCATAGCCAGTCCATCTGAAGAAGCCTCCATAGCAATTGCTTCAGTCCCATTATGAAGCATCTTGGCCATCAAGTTCTGGACCAGCACGGCATCTGGGTCTGTGTCTGGCAACTCCAACTTATTATCCCCATGCACATAATAAGCTACCGTGCTTAACATCCCAGTCCTCAATCCCATGGCCTCGTACATCCCTTTAATCAAATAGGAGGTAGTGGTTTTCCCATACGTCCCCATTATCCCAATGACTGCCATATGCCTCGAAGGTTGCCTATAAAACGACGCTGCCAGAGCAGGCAACACGGCATTCGTGTCCTCCACGATCACCAAGGCCTTACAACCCAAAGTCTCCTCTATATCGATCTCCTTACTGGCCACCACGGCAACCGCACCTCTCTTATCAGCCTCACTCAAGAACAAATGCCCATCAGTTTTCCTCCCAACACAGCACACAAACAAATCCCCTGAACTCACGACCCGCGAATCGTGTTGAATCCCCGTGATCTCGACCTCCAAGTTCCCAAAAACCGAAACCGGAACAACCTTGCTCTCATCCAAGAGCTCAGCCAGAGTGATCCTAAACTTGGGTTCGACTATCCTAGCCTTAGTCCTACCATAAGTATCGAAATCCAAATCGAACGAAGAATCCGACACAGACCCACCGTTACTCCTATTCAAATTACCACTCACCTCGTCATCAAACTCCACTGCATCATCATCTTCCCCATCGTCAGCACCGTCCTCGGCGACGACTTGCAGCCCTTGAAGCTCCTGAATTTCCTCCAAGTCCACGACCTCCTCCGGCTCCAGCTCTTCGACCGCACCAGCCAATTCCTCCCCGCGCACCTTATCCTTCTTGGAATTCGGCTTCAGCAGGCCCTGCTTCACGAAGTCCCTCCGCTTCAGAGCGATGGCCTTGTCGATCTCCCCGAACAAGTCGTCCCCGGCGCCCAGCGCGTCGGCATCGTCGGGGGCGTCCTCCACGTCGGCGATGGCCGCCAGGAACGTGGACCGGTGCTTCCTGAAGTCGTCCTCCTCGATCCTGCGCGCGCGGGAGGCCTGGCGGTGGATTTGCTGGAACTTGGAGACGCCGTGCTCGGAGTCCTCGGGGGCCTCGGGCGGGTCGTCGCCGGAGGGGTCCGGGTAGGACTTGCCGCCGCCGTTGTTCGGGGCGAGCGCCGCGAGGGGCGGCGGCGGCGGGGGCGGCGGGTCGAGGCGGCGGAGGGGGAGGAGCGGCCGGCGGGGTCCGGAGGGGAAGCAGAAGTAGCAGCGCCGCCGCCGGGGCTTTAGAGAGAGAAAGCTTGAAGCTTGGGGAGAGAGAGACGGAAGAGGGAGAGGGAAGAGCGAGACGGAGAGCGACATTAATGACGACGATGGTGGAGTTTTAGAGAGAGAGAGAGAGTGCAGACAGGGTTTTAGCGAAAATGGATAGCGCGGGTTTGGCAGTTGGAAAGAGAAAGAGAGTGTTTTTTTTTTTTTTTTTTTTTAATGTCACGGCCGGTGACGATTCGGTTCGTCACCGCAGCGTTGTTCTTCTACGGGCCGGGCTCGTCGGAAACCGCGGGCTTGAAATCGGGCCAGACGTCGGGCCTAAAGAGAGCCTCGTCCAAAGCCCGAACGAGTTCAGGCTAATATGCCCGATCGCAACTCGAAATTTTCTGGGAGCCTGTCTCCGCTAGAGATGATCTCGTATCCCAGTTTTGGAATCGGGAACTGGACCAGAGCGATCAGTTCTCGGGTGGGCCAATGGAACCGGTGGTGTACTTGATTTTTTCTTTTTTATTTGTTGTTAATGTTCAAAATGAGATTGAAGATGTTCTTGATAATTAAGGCGTTTCTATTATCAGTGAGTTATGTGTAACATCGTAGGTTTCATGGTGATTTTTTCAATTTGTGGCAAAATTTTGATTGAAATGAGCAATCACTGTTGTGTTTTGATTTGTTCTTATCATCTTACTCCCGTGCATAAGTAAACGTAGTCGCTCTAAAACCTTGAAGGGCCTTCCTTTGTAAAATAGGAGATATATTAGGGTTTTTTTTTTGCGGATTTTTCATAAATTAAAACAAATTTAAAAAAATCAGTTCGATCCGAATAGTCCGGGTGGATAATTCCACATCGGAAACTGAGAACCGGACCGAAATTCACCGGTTCTAATTTAATGGAACAAGAAGCCATCTAAAACTGACCAATCAAGGCGGTTTCTTTTGCTCCCCCTAGTCTCCACGAAATCGGTCGGACCCGGACCCACCGGGTCGGGCCACAAGCACGACCCGCGAAGCAAGCTATATAATCAGGGCCCACCCGTTCCAAAGGTAATTACTCTTTTTATTTACTTTTATCCAGCACACTGGCGGTACAAAAAAAAGTAAAATCTCTACGCAAGGAGTGGAAAGGCGGTCACGTACCAAAGTTTTTAATTTTGGCGAACGAACTTGTTCTATTCACGACCAAAAAAAAAAAAAATTGCTCTATTAAAGTATGAGACGTTTCGTGACTTATTCATATAAGTAAATATTTTTTGCACCGAGGGCGTACCTTATAATTATCTAAATCCTATTCTCCTTTTTTCCATGCTCATTTCTTGCATAAAGAGAACAGGTGCAAATGGGGTAGTATCTCAATCACTTCCTTTTACTCCATCTTCCAGCATCCTGATGTTGACCAAACAAAAATGAGGGAAAAGTACTTTTGGGTTTCTAGGTGACGACCTTGAATATGTCAAAGATAAATATCACAAAAAATCCTAAACCGATACGATAACGACAAATTTATCGTGAAATTACCGAGTTGGATAACATTTGATAATAACTCAACTAACATGGCAAATGCACGTGGAAATCCATATCAATTTGGGATAAATTTATCAACGATGTATCAGTTTAAGATTTTTCATGATATTAACACTTATTTCAATGAAAACAGATGAATGGCTCATCACAAGTACTTTCAAAAGTCATGCTTTGATTTGCCGCCTCGCTTACTAAATTAGGTGGGAGCAGTTGGAAAGAAAAAATCATTTCAATGGTGACAATTTCCATTAGGGACAATGCGACAGAGAGGATTCGTTCGACTTCGTCCTCTTTTGTTTTTTTTTGGTCAAACTGACTTCGTCCTTGAAAGTTTGCAACTTTTGGGATCTATTGCACAAATAAATTTTCAAGAAAACGTGGGCTTGAACACGTTCTTGCTTTCTTGTTGTACCAAGTGGAATGGACTATTATACCATCCCTATACGTAATAGTCGGCCCCCCATTACTATTTTATACAAATTAGGCAACAACCGATATTTAACTAGAGAAAAGTGGTCGATGATGAAGGAACTCTTTCTAAAGTCAACTTTACACATTATCCTCATAATAATTGCTGTCCTCATAATAATTGCTGACGCTCTTTAAGGAGCTCTGCTCTGCTCTGCTTGGTTATATACATTGTAATGGTAATTTAAAGAAGAGGTCGATATGGAAGTATAGAAACTTCAATTAATCTTGTATAAGAGTTGCAAAAAGAGGATAAGAACGTGATCGAATGTGTATGAAATGTCGTGCAAACCACTCTTCTAGTCGATGCAAAAGCACATCAAGAAAAGCAGTTTTCTCATCGGTACAACGGAGCGCGAAGCGCGACATTAAATGGCAATACCGTAAGAACATCCGCAGCAGTAAGAAAACAGATGGAAGTCATTGATTTCTCTTATAGGTACAGAGGCATGTGATGAACGTCTCATATTAAGTACAAATTACAATGTTCGCAGAATTTACCAACATTTTATTAGGCTATCTACTGAGAACAACTGTCGTGAAGAACTACTCAACAGACTTCTTCTACAGTGGTCTTGCAATAGAGGACTACGCTAACATCGCGGTGTCGTGCAAACCGACATGCGATTATTAGTACGGAGATGAATTTCCGCGTTTCCGAGCGAATCTCTGGAGTGCTTGTTTGATTGTTGCAGCAGACGTTACCTTCGACCCTGTGAACTGCAAATTAGAAATGGAGGTCATTAGAATAAGAGCGATCTCGACCATGGACGAAATGTCCAGGCTCACATAGGATATGCTGTGCATCTATTATATGCAATTAAGTGCAGTAACCTCGATGAAAAACGATTGATCTTGGCAAAACATTACAACAGCTAATTCTTTTCTTTTTTTCTGAAAACCGCATACAAAAGTAGTAACTTGATTCCTACCTTAGATTTGATGGTCAAGGACAGAATCCCGTCGATGGTCGATGACTGAACTGAGTGAGAATCTAAATGGAGATTGTTCACCTCGTTTATGATCTCGAGCAATACTCCCTCTCTCCAAGAGCACCGCATCTCGATTAGCACAGTCCTATCATTAATCTTGACTGCCAAATTATCGGCAGACGCATCTCTCTGCACTACAGAATTGGTCTCCGGCTCCATGTCATCAATGTCGCTGGCCTTCCTCTTGTTCACGACCGGCTTCTTGCCAGAGCCTGTCACATGGGTCCCGCAGTTATCAGAAGTTCGCTCAACCATGTCATGGGGCTTTCTTCTCGATTTCGCTTCTACTTCCATCGGCATCCCACAAGATTCCAACTGCTCGACCCTCCTCTGGAGCTCTCTCAGGTATGCAATGGTGTCATCTAAGATAGACAGCTTGTCAACCTGCATAGCATGGAGTCACAAAAGATAAGAAGCCATAATAAGAGATTCTAGAGACGAGCTATTGCGATCATTTTGAGGGAGCAGAGAAATTTTCATGTACCTTGCTGACCGAAGGAACCATGGATTTAAGTACACCCAAGCGATCGTTTATTTTTTCCTTTCGCTTACTTTCTGATACCACATGGTTCAGACCAATTTCATCGGCCTCTGGCCTCCAAACTCCATTTTCCCTGTTATCTTCTAAGGGGGACTCAAGAGCATTATCATACATTCGTGGAACTTCAAATAGGATTCTCTTCAGTACCCTTTGCGGCGTTCCACCTAGTGTTGTTTGCCGAGATGGAAACCGTCCCTTCTTCCAAGCAAAAAAACTCGACTCCTTATTACCCCTTTGAAAATGTGGCCCGATGATCAACTGGTGTGAAGTTTTCAAAAGCGATGAAAGGACACTCTGGTAATGCACATCGTCATTTTCATTCTCCAACATGGTTGGTTTCATGTAATCACAACCTTGAGGGTCATTTGCCTTGTCATCTGCCTGGACTGACCTTAAGTTCGTCGGTTCAACTACTGTTTGGGATATGCAATCGCTGGAGTTCACAGAATGGTGTAAGCAGTTGCTAAACTCATCATCCATGAACTGCCAACTTTGTGCTTGAGAAGCTACTCCATTTATCGCTTCAACCACAAATGAATTCTCCGGTTGCTGATTGGCCCCAAAACCATTCGAGCTGGTGTCTGGAGAAGCCATATCCAGTTCTCTTACCACAGGAACCAATTTGGCATCGAGAATGTCATGATCGAGAATATCAACGTCATCTTGGTTTCTTGTATCTCCAATAAGAGCACTGAATTTCTTGGAAGCTATTGGGTATTGGATTTCCAAAAGAGTACTTTTGACATGATGGATGACAGCAGGGTCCTCCAAAACCTTAACAAACGATTCCATTAGGGCCAGTTGGCTTAAATTGCATTTGCATTCTCAGAAAACAAAGAAATTCCTCATAAATGAAGCAGGAGTCAGATACTGATACCATACCAAGTCGGTCACACCGAGCTCAATCACGCCCCCCAGAAATGGAAAGCATACCACAGTCTGAAAATTCAGAAAAGATGACATATCAATTAACATTAATCCCGGGGACATGTTTACACTGGCTGGTGGTTAAGTCAGGCTTTCTACTAGCTATTGACAGTTCAAGACCAAGAGAATTAGCTCAATCACTTGCTTACTAATTACAACCCCAATACGTACTTGCAAACTGTAAAAGATGAAATGTGCCCTCGAGCAGTGAAAAGTAAACCAGGGAGAACAAGCCAAATCTTGTATCGCCTGGGCCCATTAGCCCGTCGATGTGTTAGTTGAGCAAATTTTATGGGCATAGAGGTACCACCACGAGTTACTTTTGAAGGACTCAATCACTTCCCACCAGCATCTTTTTAAGTGGATGGTTATGACTAATTAGAGCACGTACAGATGTTAAGACTAGCTAAATTCTGCTCATTCTAAAGCCATCAGCTACTTTATGAACGTGCAAGAGCATAATGGATGAGAATGGCCAAGGTGGTCCTGCTATGTCAACAGTAATGGTGGTATGGCACTCAAATACTAGTGATCTCACTGGGAATTCACCCTCCTGTTGGTCTGGGTGGCTACTTGAATGAATGGATGACATGAGAAGTAGCTAAAGACATTTTGAGAAGGACTTTAGGGTTTTTGGTTCAAATTCTTCCGAAGACGATAATGTACCTGAATGGCTGCACTCTGAGGAGGATGGTCCCACAGGTTCCATTTGTGCAACAAAATCAAACACAAAACTATATCAGTGGTCTTCAATCATCTTGAGCATATAAGAAAATCCTTGCAGATCAGATATCATCCACGAAAAATTTGTAGCTCAAGCGAGATCGTCACGAACCTTTGCCAATAGAGAGCGACTGAACACTTTGCTATCTGCATAATGGGCATTGCAGAGCCAAGTAGGTTGACCTGTAGTTAATGTTCTTCCTGGCAACCTGCAGCATAATGCAGCTGAAGAATTACCATTATGACCCTCGAGAGACAGACCTTTGGCACATTAGAATCATGGCAAATGGTTTAGCTTCATTGCAGTTCGTAGCATCAAAACTCAATAATCCTTGTCGGATTGTGCAGGTGCAGAGGGTGCAGAAAAGAACACGAGACTGCATATCAAAAGTCCAAGCATTTTAACAGAAGTGAAAGAGACTCGGAGAGTGATCAGTGATTACCCTTGGCCAATGTCGTAGATGAACGACATGCAAACCAAATAATACCACTCCGTGTCGGTGAGATCTTCAGGGGACAATGCTGCTGAAGGCCTTCTAACTTGTGGGCTGGATTCACCAGCGGATAGGGACTCATATAGTTCCCTCAGTTGCTCGCTTCTCTGCATACCAATCTGGTCAGTATTAAGTTCCACGGCTTGAATTGTTTTCCTGGTTTTGATGTCTCCGTTGTAGTACCCATCACCCCACTCCAAGACCCTGCAGTAATCACATTGTGGACCACATTCAGAATCACAATCAAACACTTAACCCTTAACCGCTGAAGGGATAATTAATTATGTTGAAGTAATGCAGGAATTACCAAATACAAGAAAAAAAAATCCAACCATCCAACAATAAAAAACTAGCCACCATTTTCCGTCCCGTAAAGATATATTCCCAGACGATATCACATAACAACAGATAAAGAACATAAAATGATCGATAAAATCCAGATTTCTCAGATATCATATAAGTAAGAAAAGAAAGATATCAAGTACATTGCAAGTAACAAAGCCAATTCCTATAATTGAAATTTCAGAATAGACAGACAATGGCATGTACAATAATACAAAGGAAGCATTCACAGAAAAAGCAAAAGAAAATCAAAACATATAATTTTTCATCAAATTAGCTCCTTGCATCTGTCCACCACATTTTGAAACTGCAAATCATACTTACCACGCTGCACAATCTCCAGAATCGTAAGAGAATAAACTCTGGAGCCAGGACAAAGTGTTTTTTGGTATGAAATATGAATAATAATGGATCTTTTCTGCTTAGCATAAAATCAATAGCTATTATAATGACCAAAAATAGAAAAGGAAAAACATGTTTGAGATGAAACTATTAGTACCCAGGCTGTCTGGTTGAGATGGACCAGAAGATTCCGTAGCTCCATTGGATTTTTCTCACAGCAAGAGCAAGCTGCTTCTTCAAATTTGCAGGAACTCTCCCCTGGTTCTCCATACCGCTTGCCATACTCCAAGATAAACTAATAAAGTAGCCGAAATACCCTTTTTTGCACTAGGTTTCTTCCTCTTGTTCTAGAACCTTCAGTCTTCTATCAAGAAACAGGAAAAAGGAATGTAATTGTTCCGAATTGCTTGCTCTTGCATCCGGAAAGCAATGACCCAGATGGGTTTTCCTCAAGTACTCTCCTCCAAATTGAACCAACAAGCAAAAATTCCAAAAGAAAGAAGAATATGGCTTTTGCCCAAGAAGATGTTCGTTGAAACGCGAAGAGAAGGTCAAACTAGATACTTTCTGTTCAGAGCATCAAATGAGATAAAAAAGAACGAGGTATGGGCATGGCCAATAATTTCAATCAACGCTGGAAGGTTGATAAAAGAAGCAGATGGCTTCTTGTTAGTAAGAGAGCACAGCGCTTGACAAAAGGAACAGAACTGAACAAAAGGGAAATATCATCCGAGTTAAAGGTATGAACATCAATATAGAGTCCAATTTCACCAACAATAGAAGAGGAAAAAAACAGTTGTGAACCCTCATCGGGATGACGCCCACGAAAGGGTCTTTAGTGGTGGGGAAAAGCATCAGTATCACTAGCCCGTGTCCCTTGTTTTGGAGCTCATAAACCAAGAACCAAAACAAAGATCTGCCCTTTTCATCCAGAGAACTAAAACACTCGGCCCTACAAGGAGACCCCCCCCTAAAAAAAACACCACCTTCTTGCAATGTGGGCACTCTGATTTTTCGGCTAAAAAGAATATCCAACCAGCTCAAGATTGAGCCCCCTAATAATACAGAGCCGAGAAAAGTCGCAAGGGCAAAAGGGACTTCAAACTCCCCACAAAAACAAGAAAATCAAGAAAGGAGAGAACTTGGCGAATTGCTTGAGCTGGCCTCTCGGTTTCTGAGCTGCCCAGAAGCCCCAAAACAAAAACAAAAGGGCACAGAAAGCTAACGAGCATCAGAAAGATTCCAGCTTCCTTTTGGGTGCTCTTTCACTCCACAGTCAATGGCGCTGTTCAGCAGAGCGCACAGAGATAGAGAGAGAGAGACAGACAGACAGAAAGAGGACGTCGTCGAGGAGCAGCCCAGTGGTCACATGGGGAAATTTAAGCCAGAGTTGCACGGTCGTCGTATATCCTTGATGGTGGGCATTTGGTGAGGAATTATAGCGAAAGAACCAAGAATAATAATTATGTTCATATGCGTGTGTGGACATCCACATTCATGCAGCGCTTCTTGTCCTAAAATCCACATTCCCACCTCCCACTCTTTTTGCTTATTCCGCTGTTCTTCTTCTTTCTGTATTTCGCTCCAGACCAAAAATGGCCCTGGCCATGGCAAAACCCTTATTCATATATATATATATATATATATATATATATATATATATATATATATATATATATATATATAATTTATTTATTTACTCTAAAAGTTTATTTTATCATCCACCGCCAATAGAATCCGAATCCCAAAAAGAATTAGGCAAAACTCATATTGCCAATATATAGAAAAGATTTTTCTTTTTTCTTTTTTGCAGATTAGAGATGTTTTCTGTCCCATTTATTGATTTTTGTGGTTTGAGATCGTTATGCTCCATCGATTTTTTTATTCTCGACGGTATTGATCTGTGCAATGCAATTGCTCCGAGATTATACCAATCGCATTGTCTAGATGTTTATATGTCTATTTTCTTTAACAACGCTAATATAAGTGCCATTATAAATGTTTTTTTTTTATCGAAAGTGGATTAAAGCACTATTCTTCCACGAGAGAAAAGTAAATTGTGTGATATTTATTTTATCGAAATGCTAACATCATATATGCATAAAAATCCATCATAGCACGAAAGTACGTGATTTTGGGAAGTTATTTACTTTGAAATGATCGTGTATGAGATTAACCGATACGTGACAACTAAGAGCTGTAGTTTTCGTCATTTGATCATTCTGTTTTTCTCCGTCTTCATGTCATCTATTCGTGTTGGTAATTTTACTCCTTACTTGAATGAATTCCACAAGTCAATTTGTTATGTATCTTCGCATATGGGTAACAAACGTTTTGTCTTAATATATTGGAAATAATACCAATACAAACCAAAGTTTTCATTTTCACATACAGCGGTCCAACAATGGAATTCCGATTCCCGCGTACGGCGGACGGCACGGTAACTCCCATCTCGACACTCCTCCTCACTAGAAAGTATAGAAACGTTAGAGAACGGCGTGATTTAATTTCGCAATCCCGACAACAACCAGCGTCGGCATTTTCCTAAAGCTGGAAGATGCTATATTTTAAATCGTAACAAATTACAACATTTATTGATAATTTAACGCTGGTATAAGTCCCGTTATTTTTTACCCAATAACGACGTCGTTAAGGTGGCGAACGGGGGGGGTAGCTTTACAGATTTTTTTGCTGAAGCGACGGGGCGGGGGTTTGAAAGTCGTACATCGGGCGAGATTTATGCATGTGCCCAAATGATTATCCCACAAGCGCCACCAATCTTCACTTTTTCAATTATTTGCCACCCCCCAACCACCCGGCTCGGCTCGGCTCGGCGCGGCACGCCGAGTTTTCCTCTTCTTGGCGCGACTCTGGAGGGCCGTCGGGGCTCGCGTAATTACTCATTTGCCCCCCCCCCCCCCCCCCCCTAGTGGCCAAAAATGGCGAAAAAAGAATGGATTTTTGAGGATTGGAATTAATACAAGTTCAAATATGAAGTTTCGTAGTCAATAGGTTTATTTTGTTATGGACATAAAGTAAGACGGTCGATCGTACTTAGGTAAAAGTTTGTGATTTTTTGTAAGACAAAAAAAAGTTCGGGCCAGAATTTTCACCCAAGGTAAAGTTTGTGCTTTTTTTTTTTTAATTAGGCCAATAAGATACCGAAAGTAAATGGTTGAGTACTTATTTCATAAATAGCATGTGGTGCAAATTATAGTGTGAAGCCTTTTTGATTACAAGGGTCCTATTACCAGTTTTTTTTTTTCGATGATTAGGCCTTTTAATTAAGCTGTTGTTATTAATTAGCCGCGTTTAAATTATTGTGTTCAAGTATTAACAGTTCTTCCTGCTACTGCTGCCGGGTAAGTGACTTATATGACTCCCACTCGTTATACCAAAATCAATAGACTCTTGTAATTACCGGAAAATAATTAAAAAAACAGTAATTAATACCATAAAAAATTTAAACCGGTACACTCATATCACATTTATTTCGGATTAATTTCTATGTCGCAAAAAATCTCAAACGGGTACATCCATGTTACTCTAAACTAATTCTCGTGTAAAAAAAATCTCAAGTTAGTATACTCGCGATAAATTTATGCCCCGTTAGCTTCCATCCAATATCCAGTTAAATTGCCGACGTTGGCACACACGTGGCAACACAACTCGAATATATGCATGTGAAATTGATCTAATGAGAAAATTTAACATAAATGGGTCTCCTAAACGACGTTGCTTTGTAAAGTCAAATCTAAAGAAAATGAAGTGAAATTGGGAAATCTACTAATTTCCCCCAAAGAGCTTTTTAACGTTTTGAAAATATGCTAAAATCCCTAATTTTGCCCTAAGATTTTGGTAGATTTGTCACAGATGTATTAGTTTAGGTTTTTTTGTAACACCAGCATGCAAGTTTGACAAAGATTAATTTTGGGTTAATGTAACACGAATGTGCCGATTTGAGATGTTTTACAAGACAAAATTTTGCTTGGAATAAACGAGGCACGACTGTACCGATTTTAGATTTTAGACAAAATTCTGGTGGACAAAATTCATGGAGGTAAGGTTTTCTTCACGATTGAGGGTCGCTCTCAAACGCTGGAGACAGCCAAAAGAGAACATACCGAAAAAGGAAAAGAACAGAAAAATGTGTGAAACTTCGACGATAGATGCTAAAGGAATTTAACAAAAGTGGTCCTCCTGCTGCAATCTGGTTGCCCCTCGCCAAGGTGGTCCTAAAAATCCCAATGCAAACGAATTATCTGAGGTGGTGACCTTTGCTTGTGCACCCGACGTTTCCGAATTCGTGCATGATCCGGTTCTCACATTACATGCACAAGAAATGGACACATTCTCATGACAGTACACGACCATTGAATTCGAGATGAAACACTATAACACACAACACATTCCGAATTCATGCATGATTCGGCTCACATCACATGCACGAGAAATGAACACATTTCCATGATAATACACGACCATCGAATTTGAGATGACGCACTATAGGGTTTGCCCCTTTTGGGAGTCGTGGTCGAGCACCGTGGGTCACGACGTGTTTGCTGAATTATGTCGTGTGTGGTCCATAAATATCTCCCAAATTGTCATGGATCGACGTGGTACGCACGACCCGACTCGATCGTTGCCATCCACATTTAATGACTTCTTATCCTTATGTTGGTCACCACCACGCCCCGTCTCTTCTCGAAATGTTGATCTTGATCGATTAGTTACTCGCTGCAGGGGGCAACATTAATGTGCATTTACTCGGCTCAGGATAACGACTCTGTGCATCCTCCAAGAAAATCCAAATTCCAACATCAATTTTTTTTATTTATTTTCCTTGTCACAAGAGAAAGGGCAAGGGGTGATCTAGATTGACAAAAAAAGAAATCCCCTCGAAACAAATGAACTGAAAATATTTTCATCGTCCATAAAAATATTTAGATTTAAATTATTGACGATAATTATTATATTTTTTAATGACTAATTATTTCGAGCGATATAAGTAATTATTTTAGGAAATTATTTTCAAATCATTCATTTTTCGCGAAACACAAGGAACCTAAAAGGATCCTTAAAATAAAGAAACTAGATTCCTTAAAATAAGATATATTGATTTTTTCATAAATGACACATTTACAGAGTGTTAAAAAACGGAATATAAATGGAAGAAGAAATAATTCTTTTAGGCTTAGTTTGTTTTATTGGAAAACAACTTTTAAGAAAACGTTTTTCGGATATTATGGCTTTTAGTTCATGGAAAATAAACTAGTCAAACAAAATATTTTCCGCCAATAGAAAAAATGCCTTCAAAAGTAAGGAAAATGTTTTCCCCTTTTCAGAGAGCGGAAAGCATTTTTCATATCTTCTTTCACCTCACTTTATTTCACCAAACACATTTTCCTTTTATTTTTCTTTTCTTTGTTCTTTTTTTCTCTTTCTTTTCTTTTTTTTCCTTTTCTTTCCTTTTCTCTTTGCTTCTTCGACGATCGAAGAGCTTGAGCCTCGCTAGATTCGACGAGCTCGAGCCCCGTCGGATCTGGCAAACTGGGCGAGGCTCATGCCTAGCCCAAGGTCACTAGAGCCTCGCCGACGTATGGCAACCTCAAGCGATGCTGAGCCTTGCCAAGCTTGCCGGATTTGACAAAGGCCGAGCTCGCTTGTGGCCGATCGCCAGCCGTCGCCGTAGCTGGCCAAGGAAGAAGCAAAAAGAAAAAGAAAGAAAAGGAAAAGAAAAGAAAAACCAAAAAAATTCAACCTTTTGGTAATTTTTCCCAAAAAATCAAATAAGATACCGTACGGCAAAAAATATTTTCTAATTCATTTTCAAGTTTTAGCCGAACATAAAAAAAAATATATTGTTATTTTCCTGAAAAATGGCTTCCAGAAAATTATTTTTCAAAAACATCATATTTTTCGCGAAACATGCTGTGTGTTAGTATATGTATATATATATATAGTTTCGAAGTACGTGCACTTTTTCTTTTAATTAGAACAAGCAGTCACGTGGTTTCACAGTGAAAGAAAGAAAACATGTCTTATGAGTCACCACCACTCGTGCAAGATTCTTCCTCCTCTGGGGTATCAAAATATATATACTCCCACTTGTTTTTCTTGCTTAATTGTACGTCTCCCTTGTCAGAATTCACGCAATAGGCAAAAGCCGGTGATAAGTCCAACAAAATTTAGAGATTTTTCATATCGTTATCCCCGTAATTTACCACTTTTGCAAGATTCTTCCTCCTTCGGTGTTTCTTGATTAATTGTACTTCTCCCTTGTCAGAATTCACGCGATAGGTAAAGACTTGTGACGAGTTTGCAGCATTTTGACGAGAGCGAAAGAGAGAGGACAAGAAGCAGCTTCGTTCGACTGATTTGGGCCTCTCTGTTTTAAAGAGGGTGGTGTATTGTCATCTTTTTTTCTTTTCAAAAGTACGTGAAAATTTTTAAGTTATTGCAAAAGAGTCTAAAAAATGA